GGGGGTCCGAAACAATTGCTTCCAGACTGCTTTCACTTTCGAAAGACCCGCTTTTGAAAATGAGATCAGAAGAAGATATCCTGCAGAATTTGCATATCCTCTTTCGAAAATAAAGCCTAGTCTAGACATAGCCTCAGATAGAGCCTCAGATAGAGGCAGCAAGGAAGGGAAGGACAGGAGTACTTCTAAGCAGTAGCACCTTACAGAGCCCGGGGTCAGCTGGAGTCCCCAGCCTACCCTAGGCTCTGTGTGGCGCTGCTGCTTTGAAATACCGTGGTTGCGTTCCAAAGGGGCAGCACCGCCCTATTGACTAATTGAATAGTCAATTAGTGAATTACATGATACTTAACATCCTTAATACAGAGACATCAAGGGGGCATGTCGCTTTAAGCAGTTTCCCCCCGAGCACTGGAAACACCTGCCACTCTCAACCCTGCACTGGTGAGGGTGCCTCCCGCTCACTGGAGTGCAGGGGCGGGGCAGGCTGGAGCTGATATGCATGGAGAACCAGCTTTCAAGCCAACTCCCCACGCATATCGACTCCCCTCTATAGAGATGGGCGGTAGGAGCTGGTGCATGGGGGAGCCTTCTTAAAAGCCGGTTCCCCCCAGAAGCCTAGTCGCTCGCTTCTGCCTCTGAGTGGGGGGAATGGCAGAGGAAGCTGCCACAAAGCAGCCTCTGTCCACTGGAGGTCCAAACTCCCCGTGGATAGAGGCTGCTTTGCATCCCACAGAGCAGCCTCTGGTCATGGCGAGCCTGGGCCCACTGCAGGCAGAAGCTGCTTTGCGGCAACATCCTCTGTCCAAGGAGGGTCTGAGCTCCCCATGGACAAAGGATGCCCTGCATCCCCTGCAGCAGCCTCCGTGGGGAGCTCGGACCCCCATAGACAGGGGCTGCTGCCACCCTGTGCTGCTCCCTCTGTATGAGAGGCAGCAGACAGTTGGTTCGTGAGGGGAGCTGGTTTTTAATGTGGCTCCCCTTGTGGACCAGCTCCTGCCTGCTACCCCATGCTGCTGCCTCTCTGATAGAGAGGCAGCAGTGCCGGGTAGCAGGGGGCTCTCTGGGAGTGGGGCCAGAGTGTACTGGCTTCTGGCCCTGCCCCTGGGGACTATTGAATAGTCATGTAACGGCTAAAATTTTGTGCAGTTACATGACAATTGAGTTACATGATATCTAACATCCCTAGCTTTCGTTACATTTTTGTTTTGAATCTGCAAAACTGAAAGTGTTGCTAATGTCAGTATGAGTTCATCAAAACCTCAGGTACAGAAGTGATCCAAGAATATTAGACAACAAGGTGGGTAAAGGAAGATCTTTTATTGGCTCTGATTCTGTTGGTGAAAGATACAAGTTTCTGAAATATATGGCGCTCTTGTTGAGGTCTTGCTGTAACTTGATAACTTGTCTCTTTCACTAATGAAAGTTGGCTCAATAAAAATATTATCTCACACACCTTAGAAAATTTCCTTTACTGGCTTTTGAAGGCAGATATTATAGGCAGTCCTTTCTCTCAGAAAAAATTCATTAGTTTCTTTGGCAGATATTAGTAATCCATGCTGATATTTATAATCCAGAAAATAAATTTTGGGTAATATCTTAATGGTAGTTGGTTTGGGGTGTATTTTAAATTGAATTACTAAAGGAAATCAACTGGAAACCTAGCCAGTTTAATATAAATTGAAAGCAATTTCAGGTTTTAAACCTGCTGAGCAGTCACAACTGCCGCAGTTGGAGGTTTTGCAGCCATGTATTCCCTAACAATTTTTTTCTGTCCCCTTTTGTTCTATGAAAGACCCACACAAACAAATTGGCTGACCGTACTGTAGAAAATAACTATGCTAGCAACTGCATAAAGTAAATAAAATACTTAAAACAAAATACAGGACTATGTAGCACTTTAAAGACTAATAAGATGGTTTATTAGATGATGAGCTTTTGTGGGCCAGACCCACTTCCTCAGATCAAATAGTGGAAGAAAATAGTCACAATCATATATACCAAAGGATACAATTAAAAAAAAATGAACACATATGAAAAGGACAAATCAAATTTCAGAACAGAAGGGAGATGCGGGGGGTGGGGGGCGGGAGGGAAAGGGAAATCATAAAATACTTAGTTTTTCAAATCTAGCAAGCATCGGGCTTGTCCTTACTGCAGTGATAGCACAAGGTATATTGTTGAATGTTGCCTCAACCTGACTTCTGTTCCCACACAAATAGTTCAAGTAAAGTGGTGCTTTAAACTTCAGCATGTTGGCGTACCATTGGGTGTGGATTCAAGGTCAAGTGCTGCTACTCATTGAGCTGGTAATGCAGTGGTGATTCCGTTACTCTGTGAAGCTGAGGACTTGTCTACATGTGCAGAACTGCAGTGGGATGGGACGGGTCTGGGCACTGCTGAGGGCATCAGCTTTGGGGGAGTTACTCAAAACCAGGGCTACTTGGAGACCTTTCCCAAATAGGTCATAAACACATAGGGCTTCAATTGTCAATCTGGCCAGCAGGAAGCCTCATGAACAAAACCCCTCAGACGCCTGGGGCAGAGCAGCTGGGGTGGTGGGTTGGTCCTGTAGTGCTGCCCCTTGGCAGCACCCCAGCTGCTGTGCCCAGACCAACCCGGCACCCCTCCCCCAGGCGTCCCCAAGTTATCTGCTGCTGAAACTGACCAGCAGCTGACTCCGGGAAGCCCGGAGCAGAAGCAGAGCAGGTGGGGTGCTGGGTTGGTCCCGTAGCGCCACCCCTTGGCAGCACCCCAGCTGCTGTGCCCAGACCAACCCGGCAGCCCCCCAGCTGCTCGGGCTTCCCCGAGTCAGCCGCTGGTCGGTTTCAGCAGCAGCTGACTTGGGGACGCCTGGGGCAGAGCAGCTGGGATGCTGCTGGGTTGGTCCCGCAGCGCCGCCCTCCCATCCCCCCTACCCCACCCCATCCCAGACCTCTCATAGGCCCCCCTTCCGATAGTCCGGCATATTTGATAATCCGGCACCCCCTGG